TGCTTAGCACCTTTCAAATTTATTTTCTATCGCCCTCGTATGCATTTCAGTGTATTTATTCAGAGGTGGTTTCTTCTTACTCCATGTAGTTACGTCTTACATTTGACGTGATTTTAATCAAAACTACGATTAAATACGAAAAATTAAAAATAAACAATTACAGTAGACCCGCGGTAATCCGACAAACGTTTTGTAAGACGGTGTCAGAATACCAAATTTGTCGGTTTGTAGAGCTACAGCCTGTTGGTATTCCGGAACTTTTCAAAAAAGAGTACCTTGTAATCCAACAAATTACATATCGAATATAAAATAATTAAAAAAGTCATGTGATGCACATGAATACCTAAACAGTAAATGATGAATGCCTGCTAGGCTGCAACTCCATAGATCCATAGTCTCACAATTAAAAAATTACAAATACTATTTTTAAATAAATATTTATTTTATATTGAATAAAATTATCGTATCCAAACAATTTTTAACAATCCACAATTTAAATCGGTAAGGTATGAAACTTACCGATTTAAATTAAATTAATTGTGTTTAGGATAAAATTAAACTTTTATTTTATGCTGCACTTGTGATTGAAAATTATAAAATTAAATAAATATATCATCTACTGTGAAATGTTTTTGTTTATATTTTATTTCATTTGATTTCACTTCAGACGCGTATGAACTACACACGTTCTTATTTTGTTTCTAAATTAATGACTTGTAGAATCAAATTACTGCAATAAATAAACATCATCTTTTTTCTTTGAGTATACACACCATATACACACAAAAAACATCCGGGAAAATACTTCTGGCAACCCTGTCGTCTGTATTAATATAATACCCTGGACAACACGATCATATTCTATTGTTTTATCTGAATTGACAATTCAACACGTTAATGACGAGAAGCCTCGACTAATTTAATCTACGCTTGGGTCTATTGTGTCTTGCCTACCTAGTATAAAATTATTTGAATGGCTTCTGTTATAGGCAAATTCTATAAGTGGTAAAGCCACGCTACATTACGGTTGTAGCACGAATAGGTCCGTCGTAGAGTATTTCCCATTAACACCATTTACTGGGCTACACATAATAAATTCAATATTTGCGTTTCAATATGTCAATTTATTACTATAAGTTAATTATATACTAACGTCACGTAGTCTTCATATCCAATGTTGGCTTTTAATCACGACCCTAAACAAACATTATGTTGCTGCAGAAATATACGTTTCCGTCGTGAATAATTTATCGCATCCTCTCGTCTATTGAATAAAAAATGAATATCTGTATATTATCTCCACAGGTTTCGAATGATGTGAGCTATGGTGAAATTATGTCATATGTTAAAATCCGCAAATCCACCTTTGCAATCCCATGGGCGTAGAAACAGGCGATTATAGAAAATGCCAGAAATATCTTATGGGTCCGATAGATGGCGGAACCATCGCTTTTTAATATCCAGTCCAATATATAAAATATCTAGACCGACAGGACAGCGCCTGACGGCATCGTCATAGGTTCAGTAAATCTTGGACTAACATTGTACAATATACAAAAAATATACATTCAGTCAAAAAAGTATCGGAGTGGTTGATTAGTTTATGGTTCCAAACTCAATTGTTTTATTTTATTATTGTTGTTAGATTTGTACAACTGTTTTCTCTTTTAGCGCGGAATTTTAGTAACATCTGTTATTTAGATTAAATGCAGTGTTGTTTTGGTTGTATCTAATGTGTATTGCGAATTTCACAATGGACAAAGATATCGAAAAAAGTTTATCTTTAATTTTGCCTATGGAATTTCGTGTTCGGAGTCACTGAAAAGGTTACAAAAGGCTTACCGTGAATCGACTTTATCAAAAACACGTGTTCATGAATGGCCAAAGCGTTCAAAAGCGGTCGAGAAGGATGGAAGATTTGACTGGCTCTGGTAGGCCATCCATAGTAGGCTATTTTCTTTCGCTCAAGAAAACCCAAACGGCTCTTTTCAAAGCCACCGAAGGTATGCAACTGCATATGTCATACAATCTATCTAGCGGTAGTATGTCTTCTGTGTGCTTTGTTAAACACGTCCTTGATAGCACTGAATATGAAACTAAAGTGTGGAGACAGATCAAGATTGGTGTATTTTTATAAAACTGCTAAAAACAACAAAATCATATCTTGGGCTTGCCCTAGTTTGGAGCCTTAGCTTCGCCACTGTAGTTTTAACATTGACTTATATATTAGTAGCGTAAGGACCGGGCCGACCGAACAAATAAAATGGACCAGTGCGCTGGCCCTAAAATTACAGTTTAGGGCCAACGCGAATCGGTCGAGAGTGGTGCGCGCGCAGGTCTGATATGCCTGTCATAAATATATCTATTTGCGTGGTAAAAAGAATGCAAAAATTACGATAAAAAGACTTAAAAAAAAACGTGGGATATCGTATCATCGGTAAACAACCTTATATAAATTTTGTTACAATTAAATTATTATATAAACCCACTTTTAAAGTTTTAATTTACAATAAGTTTAGTTACTTTACCAATGTTAGGCCAGGGTTAGTTTCAAACCCTTAAAAATATTGTATATGGAAAATAAAATGTACCTACTATTTTTTTTTTTAATTATATCACGTTTGACGTTTCATGTTTCTTTTTTCCTATGTGCCGTCATTTTGGCGTAACCCGTCTAGTTTATCTATACGTTTCGTTTTTTGACGGTTTTATTTTTATTTCTGTTTATTTTTTGTCTAAAGAACTTAGTGTAAGTTAAATTTTGAATATTGATACCTAATATTTTTTATATTCAATAAGGGTAAAACGAAAAGGAAAGGATACGGTATTGACATCAATGGCGAGTACATCACTCACCTTCGATTTGCCGACGATATAGTCCTTATGGCAGAATCGCTGGAGGACTTAAGCACTATGCTCAATGACCTCAATAGTGCCTCCCAACGGATAGGTCTTAAGATGAACATGGACAAAACAAAGATCATGTTCAATGTCCATGTCACACCTATGCCGGTAGTTGTTGGGAGCACTATGCTCGAAGTTGTTGACGAATACGTTTACCTGGGACAAATAGTCCGACTAGGTAAGTCCAACTTCGACCGAGAGGTCAATCGACGGATTCAACTCGGCTGGGCAGCGTTCGGGAAATTACGGCATATCTTTTCGTCAGGTATACCTCAATCTCTAAAAACTAGATTGTACAACCAGTGCGTGTTGCCAGTGATGACTTACGGATCTGAGACGTGGTCCTTCACTGCTGGCCGTATGAGGACGCTTAAGGTCGCTCAGCGAGCTATGGAGAGGGCTATGCTCGGAGTTTCTCTGCGTGATAGACTCAGAAATGAGGATATCCGCAGTAAAACCAGAGTGACCGACATAGCCCAACGGATTAGTAAGCTGAAGTGGCAATGGGCCGGCCATATAGCTCGAAGAACCGATAACCGATGGGGAAGAAAGGTTCTCGAGTGGCAGCCTCGTACCGGTAGGCGTAGTGTAGGGCGACCCCCACTAGATGGAGTGACGACCTGGTAAGACATGCAGGAAGTCGATGGATGCAGGTGGCTCAGGACCGTGCTTTGTGGCATTACTTGGGGGAGGCCTATGTTCAGCAGTGGACTTGTGAAGGGCTGTAATGATGATGATGATGATGAAAACGAAAAGAGTACAAAAGATCTGCTTAATTGAATCTGAAAGTTATATATACAACATTAACATTAGAACCTCTGACTTTAGTCTAATTAATATGACACGGACCTAGTTGTAGGACCATGTGTTAAAAATTGAGTTTCTTATTTAGAAGTGTATGAAGAATATTTAAACTACTCTAATAGTTCATTGATACAATTCTTTCAGTGGTCTTTCGACATCGCGATTTACCTTTACGCCGCGACATCTGTTGATGCGATTTGAAACTAAGCGCAGTCTAAAAGTACAACTACAATCACGTTTTTATTTAATGCGTCATAAAAAATTATACTACTAATTTTTTTTTGTGTGGATTAATGGTTAAATAAATACTTTGTTTTGGTTTGATAAACTTAACTTTTTTCTATAATCTGTTGATTATGTCATCTGAGTCATGCCTTATGTCACATTTAGCTCCGTAAGTGCCGTAAAAGGCGAATATTTCAAATGTCAGAAAAGTCTCTTAGCTCTCTTTATATATGACTGTGTTAATCTTTGTACACCAGGCGTAATGGAACCTGACCGGCGATGGGAATCAGCGTTAAGTTTGCGAAACTTCCAAGTGTGGCGTTCATTACAGTAGACTTCATTTTTATGTATGGCACTGTGAATGTCAATCCGTCTGTCTGTCAAGCTGACGATTTAGGCAAATTCTCCCTACCACTCGTGAAGATCATGTCCTACCAACTTATATTAGGGTTATAACACGAATTAGTCGGCTTGACCGGGGAACGACGACACTTTACTTTATTTACTGAATAACAGCGTAAAATAGCAGCAGCAAAGAGGTACTACTATACACCCCTTTTAACTGGAAACTAGGCACTCCATCTTATTCCTTAGGTGTGACAGCGTATCTGCATTTTGATTCGTAATCGAGGATAGATGTAGATGTCTATGGGCCGCAGCATCCACTTACCATCAGGTGGACTGTGTGCTCGTTTGTCATCCCTTTCTAAATAAAAAAATCCTTCGTCATTTTATCAGCCCTTAACATTCCTCGGCTGGACATGAGACTCTCCTGCTGTAGAAAGACTTTGTTACAATCGAGACGCTTAGCAGGCGGGTCAGTACCAGATGTCTCGTACCTTTGACGCAAATTGTTTGCACAAATGTCATATACGAGATGTTATACCGATCCCATCCCAAAATCACTGGTTTATAATGATATGATTGTAGAAAGGTAACGATAGGTCATTTAGATAAAATCATTATCCAATGACTATTACTCGAATTTTAATTTCCGCAGTAAACTTAATTTGTTAAAATCATAAGAAACACTAGTATGAGGCGTTTACTTAACGTCGAAATCAAACTTACTCTTTAAATACTTTATCCTGCACGTTCTGGTGCATACCAAGCAGGACTAAAGTATATGCAATGACGAGCGCCGTGATGTCGTTTCCGGCAATGGTAATGGAATCAAGGTGCTCCCGGAGTTGATCGTTCGTGAACTGTATCTCGCGGTCAAATAACATATGCAGGACAACGCGAAGCTTACCAC